ATAAGTATAATTAATTAAAAATTTTATTTAGGCCCGACTTTTTAACTTCTGAGTAAAGGTTGCTTGTCAAATTATCGAACTATAGCCTGTAATCTAATCAGCAAGTAGCTACTTTCAACTTTACTCAGAGTTAAAAAGAGTGGCCTTTAATTAAAAAAAAAAACGTTAATTCTCTTAATTCTAAAATTATGTTAAAAACAAAAACATACAATCTAAAACTAATAGGTTGAAAAACTAATACTAGATTGTAAGTAGCTGAGCTACCCTAGAAATATTGTAAAAAAAAATAAAAAACAAAAAAAACAACAAAAAAACAAACATAATTTATTTATACTTAAATACTTTTTTTTATATCATAAGTATTTTATTTATATTTTACACTTATAATTTAATTTATCCAACAATTCTAATGTCCATCTTCATCTTAACTTCAACCTGCAAAATTCGTACTTACTTTACTTAAAAATCTTTATTATACAAATATATTTACAATTTACATTTACAATACATATATAATTCCAAAAGGTTCTTCCTCCTGAATGTCACCTGGAAAAAACCGTAAAAGCGCGCAAAATTCTCGGCTTCATTATCAGATCTTGTAAAGATTTTAAAAAACCAGATATAGTTCTTCCATTATCAATTGCAGATCATGAAAACTCGTTCGGAACCTTTATCGACAATTTTGTTTGATCTGCCATAGGCGTAGATACCTACCTCATTTTATAAATTTATTTTATTAATACTTTTAATATATATCATATGCAAGAAAGTATTCGTTAAAAGGAAATCGAATAATTATAAATTGGACGTTATTATACGCCCTTATTTAGACAGATGCACTTAATTGTAATCTTACTTGGACTTAAAAAAAATCATTATAGCTCGTTAACTTGCTACAACTGAATATTAAATTATAAAACGTAAAAAAGCGAGTAAAGTATACCTGCCTGTAAGGGCGTTTGGTTTAAACAGGGTACCAGACGTGAACTGAACCCTTTTTGTACCCCATTCGTTCTTTTTCTGGAAAACGAAATTTCAAAGAAAAAACCATAAAGGAAAATAAATTCTTTACAAATAAAACAAAAGAAAAAAAAACAATTCAATTCTAAAGTATCTTTATAAATAATCATGGAAGTCTGAATCCTCTGAACTAGAGTCATCATTTGGTTGAATTATGATGGGTTGTAAAGAGGGTAATACTACATACTCATCTTCTTCTTTGATAACATGTTCAACACAGTTTTTCCAAAGCTCTTGGCGGTCTGCTGCTAGAACTTTCTTTACGAGTTCTACAATTTCTTTACTCAGTTCTGGAGACTGATTACATTTTCGTAATTCTGATTTTAAGTTTGCCAATATTAACTCTATAGGGTTAAATATGTAATAGTAAGGAGGTAGTCTGAGAAGAGTTTGCACAGCTTGTCAATATAATACATTTCTGCTGTCATATCTTCATGATAATCAGCTGCACAGTTTTTAATTTGTTTAGCAGATAATAATAAAGCATTAGGCACGAAACCGTCTTTGCTTCCAGCGTGTACTATTATAATGCGTTTCCCTTTAGAACATGGCCCATTCAAACAGCAATTTTTACTACTGCCAACCCAACCGAAATTTACTATATCGTGACTGTCGAACCATGTTTCATCTAGATAAATTATGTGTCTATTAGAACTTTTGTAGCCTTTTATCTGACGCAAATAATCTTGTCGCCATTGAACTATCCTTGACGATTCGGTGATTGCCATCTGTTTATTCAATTTTTTGTGTTTAAAACCACATGCTGACAAAACTTGACGCAATGTTTCCAAACTGGTATAAGTGTATCCTGGAAAATCTGCCACCTTTTGCTGTATTACTTCCAATGTCGGAACCCTGTTCTCCTTATATAAACTATAAATTATCTTTCGTATAAAATCTTGGGTAGCTCTGTCAACTGATTTCAGTTTTTCTTTACATGTTTTTCGGTTTTATGAATAATCCACAGCAACCGCTTTCGTGACTACCGGATAAACGGAAAATTTATTTACTTTAGTTAATTCAGCAATTGTTATTATGAACGCATTATCAGACTGCTGAATATTTTCCTTTTTTAAACATTCGAATATATTTAAAATAACTTGTTGTGTTTGTATATCTAAATCCTTATCGTTAAAGTCATACCTGTCTTTAATCTCACTACACTGTGCAATTTCATTTTCTTCATTCGCCCATGGTCTAAAGAACGCCATATTTATATTTATTAAAAGAAATTTAAATTAAACCAACCACACGTACAAAACAAAAGTGGTCTATTTTTTGTGGTCATCTCGTATACTGGCCTTGCTTTAATTTCGTACGTCTTTTGTAGGTCTTCTTTAGTGTCGTTCGTTGTTATTCCCTTGGTTAACCCTCTTAGCACAAACGCATGGGATTTATCCACTTTGTTTGTGTAAGTGTGGAAAGGGATTTTTCGGATCGGATGTTCGATATTAGTCTAGTATGGTCTTCTTCTTTTTCAAGGAATAGTATTGTTGAATTATTTGTATATTTGACTGTAAAGGGCCTTTGACTATCCATCCAACACTATTGGAGGTAAAGTGGATTTTTTTACCCTTTTGACCTTTGGTGTATCTTTTTGTACGATTTATGCTACCTCTATGGTTTCGGTTAACTTTTTGGGGTTGTTTTTGGTTCTTTTAGTTCTCCTTCTTTCAATTTTTGCATCATTATCTTCATCTGAATCGTCCGGTAGTGGTTGGTACGAGTTTTTTAGACTTAGTTTGGCCTTATTATCAACTTGCTTCAGGAAGTGCTTCAATTTCCTGGTTTTCTTTGGCTCTACGAATTCATTTGTATTTTTGTCATCGGCAGCCACATTTAGTGTTTGTTCCTGATCTACTCTTCTCCTGAATAATAGTTGGTGAGTGTTAGGAGATTGTCTTCCATGACGGGGTGAGGTTGATTTGCCAGGGTTTTCGCATGTTCCTGCGCTAGAAGGGATTGAGCTCCCTCAGGGATTTCATTAATTGGGGTTTGTAGTCCTGAGAAATCTAGCACCCTTCTGGTTACATGGTCTGTTATCCCATATTGTTTGATGGTAAGTTTGAGTGTATTCTCTTCCCCTTCCTTTCTGCTTATTTTATAGCCGGCTTTGCGTTCATTAATATTGTCTATTTCATCTTTGTATTCCTATGTATTTCCTGTATCTGTGTTATTATCAGCTTTATCCTTGGTGTCAGAGTTTGCTACTTCTGGTTTCTCATTAGTGGTGTAGTTTATGATATAATTTCTTTGACATTGACACTTAAATAACCTCAAAATAAAATCTACATAGAAAAGTCTTAAAATTAGTGATTGGATTATGTGTTTTTTTGTTGAAAGGGTTTCAACATATTTTCGTTTGTCAACATATTTTTCCTAAACCGCCCCTGGCATTTATAGAAACAATTCGAAGACGTCACAAAGATGGCCAATAGACGCTATAATATGAGCACTTCCTTGCAGATGATTGGTCAGAACTCAAACGACGCTAGATGCCAATCCCTGTGGTTTAGCTTCACCTGGCAGAATGCAATTCTCACTCAACTGAACAACATCTTGTTTAGGGTCGGTCTTTTCACATTCAGATAAAGTTCCAAATAACTAACTGCCGGATATATTATCTGAGAGTTACTATCTGTCAGATAATTAATTTTCTGTCCAGTAGTTTTTAACCTTATGTGGTTATGTAGGTACTTGTTTATATATCAGTGAAGTATTTTATCAGGAATTTCATAAGTAAGATAAGTTATCATTTAGAAGTTAGGTTTATCCAGAAGTGAAAAGATTACTTTTTAAATTACTTGAGAGATTAAAATTACCTGCCACTTTATCTGAAGGTGAAAAGATCGACCCTTACTTGTTTATTAAATTGGCGTGCCTTCGCCATGTTTAAATTTGTTCTTTTAAGTTAAAATTAGACTTTGATAAATTTTCTCGAGTAATAGTGCTTTAATAAGTTTAAAAATGTAGTCTAGTGTTTTGTTATACTCAGAAATTCAACCTCCTGGAGCCCGGCAGTAACCCCCTATTTTTTAATAGTAAGTATGGTCATGTAACACATCATTTGAAAGGTAATTTTATAGATTATTTAGCAATGTGACTATTAATTATATTTTGTTTTTTCTCCCTTTATCGGGATAAAAAAAAACTGCTACGTATTTTAAAGTGCGTCATTTAAAAGCTAATGTTATTATTTATTTAATGCACCTCAGAATAAAACATTATTTAGTAAAACATAAACTTAAGTAATTGAAAACTTTGATCGCAAAATGAACTAAAATAACAAAAAAATAATAAACTAATAAAATTTGTATCTCAGAGGGCGCTAAAATCAAACATCAACGTCATATTGTTGAATTTACCATAAAATTACCTTTTAAATGATGCGTTACTTCATGATAATAATTAATTAAAAAAATAGGGGGTTGTTTCGGGCTCCAGGAGGTTGGATTTCTGAGTATGAATTTTATATGACAATGTATCCACTTGCCAATAAAAATTGATTTTTTTTTTTTTTTTTTTTTTTTTTTTTTTTTTTTTTTTTTAATTTTGAAAAACTCCTATTTGTGTCTGATTTTCTGAGGGAGGTCAGGTTATCTTCTGTACATCCTGTATATTTTATTTCCTGGTATAAAACATATTTTAATAATACTACAAACAAAAATATAATAAATATATATTGATATTTATTGAATATCTACGAAAATTGAATTGTGTTGTGATTACAAATCGATTCCAAAATTCGTTTTTAATGTATTTTTAATGACCGAATTGTTAAGAAACCAACGGTCCATTTTTCAGATAAATATTTTATTGTTTTATTCGCATTCGAGTTATCTACTCGCCTTTACCGGTTAGATATAATTTATATTATTGAACTTGTATTTTCATGCTACGGTATCACGAAATTTAACTATTTAACATTGTTTTGCGATTTGAATTCTAATTCGTTTGGTAAAACACGTTTTTTCGCGCAGGATTATCAAGAGGGTGATATAAATTTCCAACCGACGTATAAGTACGACCTTTATACAGACACTTACGATACCAGCGAAAAGGCCAGACCACCTGCATGGACTGACAGAATATTGTGGAGGGGAAGGGGTGAGTGTATATAGATTTATTTACATACAAAAAATGCAAATTGATGTGTAAGTTTGTAGCTTAACCATATCGTTACATAATTTTTATTGTTTTATGATACTATTTTGTTCTAAAATATGGTTTAACTGACTACTGTTTAATCTAAAATAATTTTTAAAATATTTGAAGAGTACAGGGGAAAAGGGGGCTAATTAACAATTGAAGACCTTGGCGTAAAAAGGATGTATGCCACATACAATAACTTTAATTTCTATAATTTTTATAATTTCTAATAAAATTTCTTAAATAATTCCTAAACTATTCCCACATTTCTTGCAAAAAAATATCTGCTCTTCTACTTGTATTTTGGACTTTTGACGTGTTTTAAGTTGATTTATTATCTTATTTAATAGTTCAGTTAGTGCATCTGTAACAGCACCGACTTTGCCGACTTAAATATGATTCAAGAACGAATATGTGGACTTATTCTATTGTGTTGAATTTCTAGTTTCTATTCGAGATTCATTATTGATCTTACTTATTTTTTCCGTCCTATCGATCCTCATTTACCACAAAACATAACCTTCTTTCATTCTCCTTTACAGCATAAGCTGTATAACCTCGTTTACCACAAAACATACCCGTCTTTTATTCTCCTCTAATAAACTAACCAAAATATTTCCTTAGGAATCTACCAGGTGGCGTACAGGAGCCACATGGACTTGCGCATCAGCGATCACAAACCGGTCAGTGCTCTCTTCAAATCGGAAATTAGCGTAGTGGATCCGATAAAATATAGAAAAATCCACGAAGATCTGTTGAAAAAGATGGACAAGTTCGAAAACGAATATCTGCCTCAAGTTACGGTCGATCAGACCGAAGTCGTGTACGATCTGATCAAATTCAGGGAACCCCAGAGCAGGGAGATTACCATAGCGAATACGGGAATGGCAAGTATCTGTCAATGTTAAAAATATATTCGGAAATTCCGTGGTTATGGAAAAGTACAAGAGCTTTTACTGTCATTTTTCATTAGTGTCACTTGTCGTTGTCATTAGTATCACTCAGTGTTGCCAACCAATTTTAACAGAAATTCCAATACATGCGCAAAAAACATCCCATTTTTTTCGTACAAAATTTTATAATTTCCATAATTTTTCACAAGTTTGTTTTCATTTGAAATCAGTTTTTGTTTAAAAAAAATATACATTTTTAATTTCTAATACTTGTTTTTAGTAAGAAAACAAATACTAGCACAGTTTTGTAAGAAAATGTCATGAATTTCCTAAACATAAGAAAATTTCAAAAATTATCGACCCCCAGACATATGCAACACATAAAACATTAACTCAAAAAATTACAAACAAAGAATAAATAGTACTCCCAAGATCAACCAAAAACAGCCTGGCTGAATTACCATATTTTAAGTTTATTTTCATTTTTCCCTTTTTCTTATTTTCTCATTTTCCCATTTCCCTATTTTTGCAATAAAAATTCCCATAATATGGGAAAATTTCCACAGGTTGGCAACACTGGTATCACTTGTCATTAGCGTAACTTTTCATTAGTGTAACTTGTCAATCGTGGCACTCGCTTGGTGTCACTTGTCATTGGTGTCGCTTGTTATTAATGTCGCTTATCATTAGTGTCACTTGTCATTAGTGTCTCAGTTGAATTTTATCATGAGGTACGTTTATGTAATTTTAGGTTCCTGCGGAATTTGAATTCATTAGAAAATTAGACGAAACCAGTTATTGCAAGGACTGGATGAGAATTGTACCTTATTGTGGCAGCATAAATCCAGGTAAGTCTGCTATCAGTGTTACGTCAACAGCAACCATTTTAAATTGGATAAGGCAAAAAAAATATCTAGTGTAATGTGTAGAGCTCTAAACTGTTACTAACATAACTACTAGCTCTTTTTTATTTGTAGATTATCCCAATTGCAAAACGAATTTTTTTTCTTTCGTATTTCTTATTTCCTTCTTATTTCTTTTTTTTTTTTCATTCCTTTTCCTTTCTTTAAATTCTTTAATTTCTTTAAATTCTTTAAATTCTTTAAATTCTTTAAATTCTTTAAATTCTTTAAATTCTTTAAATTCTTTAAATTCTTTAAATTCTTTAAATTCTTTAAATTCTTTAAATTCTTTAAATTCTTTAAATTCTTTAAATTCTTTAAATTCTTTAAATTCTTTAAATTCTTTAAATTCTTTAAATTCTTTAAATTCTTTAAATTCTTTAAATTCTTTAAATTCCTTAGATCCTTTGGATCCTTTAGATTCGATTCTTTAGATTCTTTTTAGATTCTTTTTAGATTCTTTTTAGATTCTTTTTAGATTCTTTTTAGATTCTTTTTAGATTCTTTTTAGATTCTTTTTAGATTCTTTTTAGATTCTTTTTAGATTCTTTTTAGATTCTTTTTAGATTCTTTTTAGATTCTTTTTAGATTCTTTTTAGATTCTTTTTAGATTCTTTTTAGATTCTTTTTAGATTCTTTTTAGATTCTTTTTAGATTCTTTTTAGATTCTTTTTAGATTATTTTTAGATTCTTTTTAAATTCTTTTTAAATTCTTTTTAGATTCTTTTTAGATTCTTTTTAGATTCTTTTTAGATTCTTTTTAAATTCTTTTTAGATTCTTTAGATTCCTTACATTCCTTAATTTTCTTAAATTCTTTAGATTATTTTCTTAATTCTTTATTTATCATTTTTTTAATGAAATTGAAACAGTTTCACTTATTTTAATTGCGTTTTTGTCCCGTTTTATAGGCGAAAAATGCGACGTAAAACTAGAAGTCAACCTGGAAATGGATCTTCCGAAACTCTACGATATTTTAGTGCTGCACCTCAAAGGTGGCAAAGACATGTTCATAATAGTTAACGGCGAATGCCAAAAATCCAGTTTTACGGCTTCCATTTCTCTGTTATGTAGGATATCTGTGCCGGTAATGAAGGTACCGGACGATCAGTGGAAGATAGCGGTAAGAATTTTTTACTAAATACATAGGGCAAAGCGGTGGGATTGAATTTAAGGAACATTTATTATAATAAATGAAATTAGTCGCTATTGTGGCTTTAGAAAGATTTACAACATTAAAGTAAAGAAAATTGGTGAATCTTTAACATTAATTTATAAATATTAGCAATAAACATGTTTTTATTATCGTCAAAGACCATCTGTCACGTAATGTGTTATGTCATCAGTAACTTTATATGCCACTTAATCTGTCACTTAAAATCAAATTTTTTATTCATTTATTCATTAATAAATCATTTTTGATATAATTATATACATGTCTTTTCTACAGTTTATAAATATACAGGGTGAATTCTATGTTGGTTCATTTTTTTGTAACTTTGTATAGAAGTCATTAAAAAAACAAGAAAGATACAAAATTAAAAAAATCTAAATCCAAGCTTTAAAATTTGAAATGATGTTTTTATCCTTTTTTTCTCGAATTTTTATTGTATGAATCATGATTTATTGTGTAATGGATATTGTAACTCAGTCGTGTGTCGTCTGATTTCAATAGTTTGTTAATCTGAATTGTGAACATTTAATTTTATCAACGAAAGTTCTACACATTATATAAATTAGACAGAACCGTATGGAATACATTTAGGAATAAATAATTGTAAGTTTCTTATTATTCTATCTATACACAGTAAAAAAAAGTATCAACTTAGAATTCACCTTGTATCTTTTTGAGATTGAGATGTTCAATCTTCCCTACTGAGTAATAATTAAATTAAACTTTTCACATGCCCTTTCTTATATGCTATTTGCGAATTTGAGGTTACGATTTTGATAACATTGGATGGAAATTATAGTATATGTATTTGTATTGTTTTTTTTAGGATAAAGGTGATTCCAATGTACTATACTCGGTGCCTAGAGAATTATGGTTGTTGATCGACTATATATACAGGCATGGTATGAAAACGAAGGAACTTTTCGAATCCAGCGCGCTTCATGAGGAAATTGCAAGGATAAGAGATTGGCTCGATTTTGGTTCCTTAGATCCATTCCGTATCCTTTAAAAATGTTTTAGCGATAAGTAATTGATAATTATGTCATTTATCAAGCAAATGAAGTTCATTACATGTAATTATATCAACCGTTTGTTTAAAAATCACGAGTGTCTGAAAATGTGGACGATTTTTTTGGAACATTGTTTCTATTTGAGTAAAAAATATCATTAATTCTTAGCATTCTTATCACAAAAATACATACAGATATACTCTATCACATCAAGTTTTTTTACAAAAGGGAAAAATCGTTTTTTTCGAAATTTTAAGAAAAATTCAATTATTATGTTACAAATAAGTATATTTAAACACTTATTAAGAAAATATCAATAAAAATCATTACAACAGAATTATTTTGAGTGACATCTTTTATGTTTAGCCATAAAATTACGTGTGGGTGTCATTTTTTTGTGAATATCATCAGTAATATCGCGTTTCAGTCACCAGCAGTAATCAGCCATCATATTCACATTCAATCGACCTTGATATCTTGTTTTCATAGTTTTTATGTCTTGGTGGAATATTTCTCTCTGTTCTTCGCTATAATCACCAAGATTATCAGGAAAAAATCTAAATGTGAATCTAAAAAGTGAAGTTTTATATTCATATTACAGCCCAATTTCTGATACTTATCCAATAAGTTTGCAACAATATTTTTATAATCAGAGTGTTTGCTTTAAACGCCAGCCAAGCTTCTAATTCAGTAGTATTCATTGTTGAATCGAATCTTTCATCAGTCATTAAAGATCTAATTTTTGGTCCATCGAACACTCCTTCTTTTATTTTTGCATCAAATAATCTTGGGAATTTTTGACACAAGTATTGAAAACTAGCATTCTCTTTATCCAATGCCTTAACGAATTGTTTCATCATTTCGAGTTTAATATGAAGTGGAGGTAATAAATTTTTTTTAGGATCAATTAAATTTTTTCGTATAACATTTTTGGTTCCAGGTTTAAGATTTTACGAGGATTCCATTGTTTTTGTATGTAGTGCTTGTCTCGTGCTCTACTATCCCACTCACACAAAAAAAAAAACAAGGATATTTTGTGTATCCTGACTGTTGGCCTAACAAAATAGTTATAAATCTTCAGATCTCCACAAAACTGCCAACCATGTTCTTTATATCCAATTTTATCCAGTACTTTCTCCAAATTTTCATAAGTCTCTTTTAAATGAACAGAGTGAGCGACAGGAACAGAAGCATACTGATTAGAATTGTGTAAAAGAACACCTTTCAAACTCCGTTTCGAAGAATCTATGAAAAGTCTCCAGGATCATATTGCCCTCCTAACTTTCCAATGAGACCCGGAATATTTTTACAATAAACCAATGATTCTTCCTGACTGAAAAAAGTTACAAATTTGTCTTCACGTTTCCTATACCAAGCAAAATGTGTATTAGGATCTAACAGGTGTTTTGCATGAAGTCTAGACCCCAGAAGTTGAGCAGATTCTTTAGACAAACTTAAATCTCTAACCAAATCATTTAATTCACCTTAAGTAAATCTCTGTGGCTGATTTAAGATTGGTTCAAAACCTTCTGTTGACTCTTGACGCTGTAGATTTTGTTCTGACGATGTCGAACTAAGATCAGAAATTGAGGTTGGAAGGGGCACTGGAATGTCTTGGCCGTGTGGAATTGGACGTGTAACTGATGTTAAATTTGCTTAGACTATTTTATTTTTAGCATTAAAACCTTTGACATTAGTACAGCAAAAATAACAATCATCAATATGATTAGTCTGCTCTCTCCATATCATAGGTCTACCAAATGGCAGAGATTGTCTTTTACAATTTGTCCACTGCCTCAATTGCTCAACACAAATAGTACAAACTAACTGCGGAGTCCACGATTTTATTTGTATTTTAAAACCAAAATAAGCATTATACGTATTTTCTACAAACTCACTAATTTTCTGTTTCTGCTTCGAATTCATAAAGTTTCCACAGATGTAATGAAATGTATCCGCACTATTATGACACTTTCTTGAAGACATTCTGTTTTTTACAAGTTTTTTAATCACAAATCACTAATAACATTCATTAAATACCAAGAGTAATACGTAAACAATTTTCTCAAATAAACACTCGAATTTCAGTAAAAAATTTGTAAATAAAATAACTGTGATGGCTTATTTTCATGTGACGCGTTTCAAATGAGTATGTTGCGGTTGCAACTAATATATTCTCCCACGAGAGGTCGCACTATTCATGGAAAGAGCGCCAAAACTCAATAATTTAATTTCTTTTTATTAAAAAATATAAAATAGCCAAGATATCAAGTTTACTGAAAACCTGATGTGATACAATAAAATTACGTCTGAATTCGTAATCAGCACTACAAAATTGGTGGAAAAAATTAGTAATGTCTTGAACAAGGAAAATCATGTCGGCCGGTGAATTAGAATTCAACTGCACCATTATTACGATATACAGTGAAAAATTAACATTAATAAATTATATTTTTGATAATATAAAAGAGAAGCTATTGTGGGAAAACAAATATTATATAATAAAATGGCTCATTAATATTTGATATGGTAAAGATAATCTTTTTTAATTATCATCACTTTTTACTAAGTATGAATAGTAGGACATTCTCTGTACATTATTTGTGAAAAATATTAACCAGTTTGGTTTTAATTCTTTAATACTATGCAAAGTATACATTATTATTAATCAAATATAGTTTTTGGATTTTCCTTAGCAGTCTACTTATATCTACAGCTGGTACAGTTCAAGCTGCAGCAGAAACATTACTATTATTTTTATCTTACACTAAGGACCCCGTGATACCTTATGAATTACATGACAATTGCATAGCGGCCGCTAGCAACTACCAAAATTGTAAACAGGTAATAATAAATTTTTAATTAAACCTAATTGAAAAATAAGAGTAATTCCATATAAAGTCTCGGAAATGCCCATTCGCTTTCTTTATTGTTTAAATGTAAAATGGATGTTATGTCGGTTTGTTAAAAATTTGTATATTTTGATAATTCAATAGTTTTTGTAAGTATTCAACAAAATGGGGAAACGATTTAGTGATCAATCAAAAACTTTAATCCAATACGTAGTTATCTATTTGCGAGGCTCTTAGAAAGAGGTACAATCAAATTGCTGTAGAGACATTAAATATTTCGCAGAAAACTATCTATAGACTTAGTAAACCAATAAATTTTAATACAGAGTGTGAAAATAAGGCCGTGTCTATTCATCTGGGCGCTCCGTCAGATAGAAGAATGTTCTATTCATTATAATAATAATAATAATAATAATAATACTAATAATAAAATGTCTTTATTTGCATTGTGATATACAATACAGTAAACAATTTAAAGAAGCGAAGTCCAGCTTAGCTACTCCACTTAACCTCTTCTTACAATATAATTATAAAGAAAAGCATTAAAAACACAATAAAAAAAAAATCTTGAAAAATAAATGATATAGATACATATTAGTCTTAGATTAAAGAGACCGAAGATGTAACATTGCACACTGCGCATGTTGTCTATTTTAACCCAAAGTAACCCACCAATTGAAAATCATTGTTGCACGACGCCACCCGAATTGCTCCCATTTTTCCATTCAGCAATCACCTCCACCTGAGTTTAATCACCATTGACAGCTGTTTTTTGATTTATTTGTTGGTATTTTAGCAATTTAAGTGTTCTAGTTATTCAATTTCAAGTTCAAAATGTCACGATGTAGCTTGAAAAATTGTATGTACTTATAATACAAGTACCAATGTTATGAATATATTCGTTTTCAGCGGTAAATATTTATTAACGTTTTGACATAAAGCGCCATGGATTCTCTGGGCTGAATACTTCAGATCCGCATTAAGGGGTTTCAATAAATATTAAGCATCAGAAATCAGATTTCATATTACTTACATAAATTTACAAAAGGGTAAAATTTTGAACATTTAATTTAAATAAATAGTAAATAGGCATTATTGCTAACGAAATTTTGTATTTAAAAAGTAGTTTTATAAGAATGTTTTCTAAAGGTAGTTTTTAGTCATTTTTGGTAGATAAATAAGAGGTAAAGAATCATAGTTGCTAGCTAAATTATATTTTTATAAGAATATTAGATGAAATACAGGATGACCTACTTAAAATTTCAAGGTTCATCTTATTTGCGGTCAAATCGAAAGTGACATTTGAATCTTCAGTCTTAAAACAAAGTAAAACGCACCATATGATCTAGTATAAGCAAAAAAAAATACTCAAGTTACAGGAGTAGGTCCGATTCCACCGTGTTAAAAGGAGATTAAAATGACAGTGTTAACGTAAAAATGTCATTTTAAACTTCGTTTAACACAACGGTGGAATCGACCCTTAGTCACATTAATAAAATGTTACATTACAAACCCCTAAGCAACTAGAACAAAATTTTCGTTTACTAAAAAAAATCCAACATTTAGCAATATTTATTATACAATCGAATGCGGTTTCAAAGATAACGGGATCAAAAAATCCGAATCTCTAAATTTTGGAGCTATATGCTAAGATAAAAGCAAGCGACCGATAGGGGTTACAAAAATAATCGATTTAACGATAATTCTGATATTTTTTAATGAAAATCGATTTATCCGCTATTTTTAATAAATTATTTTCGTTTTTTTAAGATAATGTATTAATCGATTTTAAAGGAAATACAAAAAAAGTAGATTTATTCAAAATAATCGATTTATCGTTTAATCGGTTTTTAATTATTTGATTATTTTCGATTTTTCAAAGATATATGAAAATAATCGATTGAATATAATCGGTTATTTTATATAATCGATATTTTGGTTATTTTTTTAAAATTATCGATTTATTGGTTAATCAGCTTTTTAATAATCAATTATTTTCGATAATCGAATAATCAATTTCAAAGGAAATATGAAAAAAAGGATTATTAGAAAATAATCGATAATTCGTTTTATTTTTTGGAAAATCGATTTATCATAGAATCGGCTTCTTAATTAATTGGTTATTTTCGAATAGGCGATTATTTTGGAATTATCGATTATTTTCGGTATTTCAAAGATAATCGAATTATCGATTTTTAAGGAAATACAATAAAAATAGATTATTGATAATAATCGATTGATCGAAAATAATCGCTCATTCTGTTTTTTTTTTTAATCGATTTATCAGTTAATCGACTTTTTAATTAATCGATTATTTTTAATTAATCGATTATGTTTTATTAATCGGTTATTTTCGATTTTTTAAAGATTATCGAATAATCTGTTTCCATGGACCAAAAAAAAAATGGTTTATTTGAAAATAAACGATAATTCTATTTTTATTATATTTTGTAAACACTGATTTATGGGTTAATTGGCTTTTTAATTAATCGATTATTTTTGATTTTTCAAAGATAAGTAGTCGATTTTAAAGGAAATGACAAAAAATATATTGTTTGAAAATAATCGATTGATCGAAAATAATCGATTATTTTCAATGATCGATAATTTATTTCGATAATCACTCATCCCTAACGACCAAATGACTTTTAATAGATTTAAATTTTAAAATGTTATCTGGTTTCAGACATATGCATTTCTAGAGTTTTATGTGACTCACACTTTATAATAATTAATATTCCTAAAGAAAGAAGCCTTAATATACTTTTTTCTGAGGTTACAATACAAAACAGCATTTTCTCATTTTGAATAATTTTTAATAATATGTAATAGCCGTAGAAAAAATATAATGTTCAACTCATAAGGGTAGATTTGCAGTATTAGCCTGCGCACATGCTATTTTTATAATACTCGTAGACAATGAGTAACATTTTTTGCTCTATTAGCAATATAATATTCTATTTCAACATTTTACTGTAATCTCTTGCAGAAAAGTCCGTAGTAAATAAACGCTAACGAAATATTCTATAAAAGGTATTCCCTTTACATAAAATATCGTGGCATCTGTTTGATATTAAAAAATCACGTTAATTTTATTTCATAATACAAAATTCGATTAAACACCTTTTAAATAAATCTAATAATTCATTATGATGCTAATAAACAAAGTCCGGTCCCTGTCACAGAGTTCGGGTCGCCGCGTGTCGCCGCCCAGTTCCCCCACTCCGTTAACCCTTCTTTAGAAATTGGCAACATTTGCGCAGGTTAAAAACCGGTCTATGTTATATCTCTGGTCTCTTTTATCTAAGATATTAGTAAATTAAAAGTTTAGTGATAATTTTTATTCGCTCCGTGCGAAGTCATGGAAAGGAAAGCAAAAGCGATACTAGTGCTAGCTGCGGATAATTTGTACATTTTAGGGCGATATTTAGTCATTTTCGCATATCAAATACACGTATACATTTTACTTTTTTTCAAAAAAGTAGGTAAAAACAACACAATAAGCAACCGGAGTTGCGGTGTTGAAAATTGTACAAATACTAGCAAAAAAAAAAACAGTGAAACTTATATAAAAAATTTCACTAGCAAAGTGGAAATTAAATCAAAGAAATAAACGGATAGGTGTACAATAAGACGAAAAATTACCTTTATTTTTGTGATAATAACAGTAATGCTGTAAATAGTAGAGATCAGAAACTTGAAAGGTTTTAAATAAACAATAAATTATCATTTTACGATGTTCTTTAATATCCCTTTATTCTTAAATGTTCATTCAGCAAGGACTAGATTTCAAGATTTCTGCCTTTGATTATAATATGTGAATGAAATGCAATTTTTTGACTGATGGAAAACCAGTTTTAATCATTCATTCTGTTTTTTTTTTTCTAACAAAAATGAAAATATAAATAACGATCCTTTTTTATACATTTTAACTTCACGCTATTATTAAATGGTATTTTTTATTTTGATAGAATAGGTTAATTCTTCAATGACAACTTATTAGACAGGCAACTTCTCATACATTTTCCAGTAAATACTGTTGCCTGCCTATATTTTATTATTGATTTTTATTGATTATACATAATTTTCTTTAATTTAAGCGGGAAAAATATATAATAATAATAAATTAACGTTTTACTTGTTTTACAAATCCATATAGTTTTATTAAAACTAATATATATACTTTTTATTTACGAATTCCATTAAAAATTGTATTTGTCAGTATAGGCAGAAATAGTCCTTTAATGCCAAAACAAATTGGCGCTGCTGTCGCGCACGGAGCGAATACATATTATGAAATTATATTTAACATATCTGTTTTATTAGTAAAAGTGATTTGATACAGTATTTAAAATTTTTTACTGACTGCGATTTAAATTGCAGTGGTATGTCATGGTATATTGTATACCGAAACTGCACGATAAGTGAACGACCGATGAAACATGCTATTTTGTGTTTTACCCTCATGAATACCAATGTGCACATTTGTGGACAAGTTAAACATTCTGTGAAAATAGTAAAGATTAACGGAAAAACAAAATTAAACTTTTATTATTAAGAATATATTATAAAACATCGTTTTTATTGTTTAACTAGCGCTGCCGTACTAAGCTGAAGCGTCCTAACTGAAAAAAAAAAACTATTCTGAGATATTTACATTTAACTTTCTTTTTATGTGCCTTCTCTTAGATTTTATTTAAATAATCCAATATTTTAGGTAATGTTTATTAATTGGCCAAAAATTATACTATTCGTTTAATTGTCTAATTAACTTATGCAATTATGAGACTTTTGAAAGATAGGACAACTTTCTTTAGCAAAGTTTAAATAAAAACGTATGAGGCACTTCACATAGGACTAAGACACACTTTAAATTTTTTTATTATTTATTCAAACGCAGTATTTATTTAGAAACAATATAAAAAACTAAAGAACCAAACAAAATATTTATTCAGAGTCATCGTTATCGTCATTGGCCGCGGTTAGATCACACACATCCAGTTCTTGCCAAAATTTTAGACGATTTTTTGGAATTATTGACCCAAGGGTGGATATTAAGGTGTTTTTTCGAGTTAAAGCTACCCCATGGTTTTTTCTCTAGGGTCTGCTATGGGTAATCCAGACTTTGCTACCTAAAAAAGGTAAAGAAAAACTACTACTTTACTACCTTATTATTAAGAAAATTTAAAGCCTTGAATTCATCTTCCTCAAAACCAGTTTTATATTGAAATATATTTTCGTTTCTGTTAAAAACTGCCATTAAAATCTTTAAAATAAAATTTCTCCTTTTTAAGTTTAAATTTGGATGAAAAATCCTTCCAGTTAAAGAAGTTGGTCAAATTCATTTTAATTACGTCAGTTTTGCCGCCATTAGCTGATGATACACAAGACACAAAATCATCAAAATCCCATATTGTTTTATATTTTTTCATTGAGAGTTCGACCTGATGATGAAAGTGATCTGCCGACATGAATGAATGTCCCGGCTCAAAATATTTAACTGTAAGCGTTTTTAGTTGTACCACTTTTATATGACGCGAAGTGTACCTACTTTCCCGAGCTCTTATGTCAAAATTTTCATTAAAGACAAAATACCAGCGTCTAGCCAGAGACAATTTTTGAAGGGTACGGTAAATATCACAGTTGCCATGACAATACCGTAGCCATCTGTCAGTAGATGTAAATAATAAAAGAGTTGTTTTGTTATAAATTATTGTCAAATTATTGGTGACATAAACCTTTTTGATTTTAAAATCAATATAATATACATTATTATTAAAAGTTTACTTATAAAAATACAATTTGGTTAAACTTACAACCTAATAATAATGTTGTTTTGGTCCTTATTTTCCATCCTGAATCAGCACCAAATAATTGAAACACAATACACGATACAGTAACCCACTTTTTTGAAAACTAAATAAGCAATATATATATATATATATATATATATATATATATATATATATATAGAGAAAGTAAAAGTTGAAAAGTCTTTTGGTAGGTAGAGAGGGGGTAAACGTCAAACCACGTCGGGCGGCTCCGAGATTTTCACAGTAATGTTTACCTGCCAGTGTCGTTTCATAGAATAAGTAATTTTAAATTGTTATCAGCGGAACCGGACAATCGCATGTATTTATGGATTATAAATAATTATTAAACATGTATTATAATATTCAAATTATAATTTTACAAAATTTCAACAGCTATTCACAATTTATTAAACTATTTATTCGAAATTGTTATTAACATCTATAAAATAATTTTGTACGCCAATGTATCGCGTCCACTTCGGTGAAATCCGCTGCCAACCTGTCAATTTATGTGTATAAAGTGGGAGAACTGGCAAAAGCATTTCCAACTTTTACTTCTGTTCTACATGTTCTATTTGTCAATAAAATGATGCATATGCAATTACAATACAAGAAAGTAATATTGGTTGCCTAGATGTCAGTAATATTTTACCATAATACAATTTTATAAATAATCTAGTCAAAATTAGAAAAATTATTGTATGTAACACTTAACGAAATGCCGTTTTATATAACTCATTTATGTTGCGGGATTTCGCTCTGCTAGTCCAGTCGTTACATAAAATAAAGCATTCGTAACTGGTTGCATAAATAGCTATTTTATAAACTGCAAATAATATTTAATAAAAACAGTGGCGGCTCGCCAGAATATAGGTATTAGTACAGATGTATGAAAAAACTTTCCGTGTTTTAATAAGTTTATAATATACCTTTCTAAAACACTGACAGTTTTTTACCTATATCTGTACCGGGATCTATATTCTGCTACTGTGAACCCCCAAAATTTTGGTAACGAGCCGCCCATGATAAAAAATAAAAACGGTAATAACTTATGTGTCAAATATTGTCAAAAGTAGGGCTAAAATTAATTGTTGGTGGAACCAAACTTACGTCACACTTATATGGCGTTTTATACAAAGTGAAATGTGTAAAATTTTCATAGCCGCCCCGAGTTTAAATTTAAAAACGTATATAGTTAACTAAAATTATATTTCTAACTTTTTTTACAGATAATCCTTCAAAAAGTACCGGATTTACATCGAAACGTCTTTCTGTACATTTGCATGTTCCTCCAAGAGCTTTTGAAACACCAAAACGACAACGCGTACGACGCCAAAACTCTTGCCTCGCTGTTCGGCGACATCCTTCTCAGAGACCAAATCAGAAATTCCAAACCACAAGCTAGTCGCGGAAAGTCGAATTTCGTTTATAACTTTTTAGTTAACGATCTTAGCTCTTCGATAATTCCTCCCAAATAAACATTTGCGCATTTATTTAGGAAATCCTTTACCTGCAACGAGCACCATTTATTTATGTTACGTGAATCTTTCCAAGAAGAGTTTATCGCGTTTTGCCTATGTAATAGAATGACAATATGAGTGTTGTCTTGGTAAATTTATCATTTAGAATTGTATATAGGGACCTATTTATTGTACTATAGAGTACTTCACGCCAATTTACCAGTATTTTTATAAATAATTTTATTATTTAGGAGCCAACTGTTGAACAAATAAACGTTATTTATAGTTTAAAGTGTTTTATTAAAAAAAATTACTTTTGAGTTTACCATGTTATTTTATTATCTGTGATTTACCCATTTTTTTAACAAATCAACCATTGAAAAAGTTATTTATGCTACACTACATACACATAATTGTAGATTTGGTTGCATAACCTCTGTCAATATGCAACAACCGTTAACTGTATAACTGGTGGCCTAACACCTGGTCAAATGTCATTTGATAACTTTTTTAGGAAGTGGATAGAGGTCCATATACTTGAACCTAGTGAAAAAACAGGTCCGGCTTGATGAATATCGTTCGAAAAGAAAAAGTCCGTCAATCAGCTATTAGAATGGACTAAAACATTCAAAAAAATTTTATTACTCCATTTTAAAGTACAGTAGCACTGGACGCCGAAGAAATAATTGTTAAAGTAGAAAATTTTATGTCATGTGACGTGTTAAATTTGATTGCCAAATGTCTACTTTTATTTTCCTATTAATCTCATCTCTGAGTGTGATGTAAGAAGAGTGAAATAGAAGAATAATTGTCTTCTTTATTTTAACAATTCAGGGCAATGCATGAAGTGGTGTTACAACAAAATAAAAAGGGTAACGTCGATCAAAATTTACTTGTATTTGTCGGTTATATTACGTTTCGACCCCAGAGTTTTACCCCCACCGTTTCGCCCAAACTTGTTTGCCCTCAATAATAATTTTAGAAATAAAAATAAAGCCGATTAATTTAAAATTCAAAATTATTAGCAATGCCTAAAAAATTAAAAAAGACTTATTTACCTAACCTGTGCGGCCTAGAGAAATTGCGGGTTGCTTCGAAAAAAAAAACCGTAAGGTGGGTTTAGGGTTCTGTGTGATTACAGACGTTGATTTGTGGGATTCGGCGAGCTGGAGGTGGCAATTAGTTATTGTGAAGGAAAACGGCACTGAATAGCACTAAATGTGAATTTAATAAGCAACACCGTTACACAATATTACTAACTGAAAAGCACTAACTCTAAAAGGAATAAAACTATTTAGGAAAATGAAAACTAACTTTTAAAAATGTCAACGTTCGCTTGATAACAGTCATGGCGATTCTCTACCTCTCTCCCTTGTGTTCCACATGTTTTAAAGTAGGTGGATCATCTGTACAGGACAGCACAGGGGGTGATTCGCGTTACAAAACTTAATCAAATTACCTAACCTGTGCGGCATAGAACTGTAAATATTAAAAAATATCAGTTATTAACAGAACTTCAATATGTAGCACCGTATTCAAAATAATCATCGTTGGGCACTGCCTTTTCAGAAAAAGTCCTCATTTTTTAGCAGATTTGGGTAATTAAATGTACTTTAAAAATAATTACAATTACAAAGTACTTTTTCAAAAAAGGAATTATTTAACAAGTACAAAGTACATGTTGTAAAAATGGGAATTATGTTTTAATTACATAAAAAAAAGAATTATCAATTACTTTGCGGATAAAACAACAAATTATGATGGAATCATGACCCAATCGGACAAGTATGAATAAAAATGTTAAATAGATAATTCAAAGTGTTCAACTAACAGCCGTTTGAAACGACTTTCTTAAGGGTTCCATAAGGACGAGTTGAATAAAGCTTACCTAAAGTTAAACTCTATTTTAAGTGGAACATGACAAATTTTATATGGCATAGGTACCGTCAAAACACCATCTAGCACTTAGGGCGTGTTTCCCCAAACATTAGAGTGCACTTATAGGATTGGAAACTTTAAGTAGGCTTTATACAACCAGTCCTAAGCGTGTTGTTTTTTATACCATTTAAGGTCTTCTTAACTTAAAGGAAAATATAAAATCCATAACAAGTAACAAGTAGTGTATAAAAAATGGTTAATAATAAAATGTGAGCTTCTAAAAGTTTATTGAATTGGTAATAGAACTGGATTATTTTGTACAGTGTGTTTTGAAAAACAAGTCTTAAATATGGCTAATTCCAAGTTAAATTTATTTAATTTTTTTCAAATGCCACACTCTGTATATTATTTAAGCATTCAATTCCTTATAAATTAACATATCCAACGATATCAATAACACATATACAGGGTGTCCCATGAGTGCGTAATTGGTCGATAGCAGTTTTATAATAGGAAATACGAAAAAATTAATATAAAAGTTGTATGACCATAATTAACAGTTATTTATAAATATACAGGATAATCCATAAACGATTGTCTGACCAAACCTATACATCGTTTCAATAATTTCAATTTCATTCATTTGCTATGTTGTATATAGGATGTGTGAAAATGGTCACGATTTTCTTAATTTTCTAAATGGAACACCTTGTATGTTATGCCACCAATTAATATAATATTCCATTGAAAAAAATTTAAGCATATGTAACCTCGCGTGTTGACACACTCTATATAGAACATAGCAAATGAATAAAGTCAATTAAAATTATTTGACGACGTGAAAACAATCAAATATGTATAACTACCTGCAGGGTGTTTTGATTTAAAAATGTATAGGTTTGGTCAACATCTCGTTTATGGACCACCCTGTATATATAGGAATAATTTTTAATATGGTCATATAACTTTTATATTATTTTTTTTCTTATTTCTAATAATAAAACAGCTATCGATCAATTACGCACTGATGAGACACTCTGTATATATGTTATTCTCTAACATGTTGGTATCGTTGGATATGCAAATTTATAAGGAATTGTATGCTAAAATATTATATCAAATGCTGCCTTTGAAAAATTGAGTAATTTGACTTAAAAGTAACCATTTTAAGACATGTTTCAAAACACTCGCTATAAAAGAATCCAGCACTATCACTACTATTCGTTATCTTAATGTGCTATAAGTCAGTATATTAAACAATTTTGAATTATGATAATTTAATTTAGGGTCTGCATTATTTTCTAATTTTATAAAAATTTAATTGCTTGGCAGACCTGTAATATTTTTTTAAATTATTCTAAGGTTGAATACAGTATTACCGAACCATTCTAAAATTGAAATAAAATACATGTTCTATTTTAAAAATATACCAAGCAAAAATGTAGCACCCTGTATATATCTAAAAATATTTTTAAAATATGTATTTTTTAAATCCATATAACTTTTTTTTTAAACATGTTTGCGTGTCTTTAACATAAATTAAAATATTGAACAATTACGCACTAATAGGACATACACATGGGTACATACACATAGCAGTCAACGTGTTAACTCAGAAATAAGATTCCTTATAAAGATAAAATAACATTCAGGAGAAAAAAGCAAAGACCGCCAATATTACGTGCGTATCATACAATGATGCCAGGTCATTCGGATTTAATTTACATCGGAATGCAATAAAGTTCCTTCCCTTTCCTGCATTTCACTATTGTATATTTCACCCACTTTAAAATCAAATTCGTCCTAGAAAGAATTGTGAAATTATCGTATAAATCGATAATCTGGCAACGTGGTCAACACTTGTTCATACACAGGCAAAATCAATCGATAATTTGGAACCAAACGAGACAAATATATATGAAAAGCACGAAACAATAAAAGACGGCATACACCTGTATCACTGTTTCAAAAATTGGTACCTCTAAACAATCATTTACCTATTAAAACCATCTCTAAAGTAGAATAGCTATACTGTTTTTTACGGTGACATCTTCTTAAAAATAGATGAACTACATGAACTGTACACAATTACAGGAATTCATAGAAAATCTCTAATTTGACAAATAAATTTATCAAATATTTGTTAATCGTATTTCAAGTTAGATTTGAAAAATACGCAATAAAATTTAGAAATATTTTGGCGGGATACTTGGAAAAATATGTAGAATGAAATCTCCTACTTTTTAGCCTCTGGTTTTAAAATCACTTTTTATGATTTTTTTTTAAATTCAGTGTATAAACAGGACAAATAAAAAATAGGAGATTTCATTCTCCAAACCTTATACTTTAAGCTGGTAGAAGATTTATTTTAATTCATTTAGCGGGATTTAAATGCAATCGGAAATGGTGAACCCTTGCTTCTTATATGAGAAATACAGTGATACTGCGGCCTTAATAAAAGTTCGTATATCTAGGCGTAGATACTTTTATATTATAATCACCATACAAATCGGCCATCATTAGTCTGGGGCCGTTTAATCAAAAAGATAAAATAGTTAACTTTTTTTACACTAAACATTTTATTTACTTTCGGTACGGTGATCACAACTCTCGCCCAAAAGTATCTGATACCTTTTTTGTCGAAGAATCAATCGTTTGAACAAAATGTTTATATTGTTACTTTCCATCACACAAGTTTTTCAAAATTTCTGTCAGACAGCTCATGCCTTCTGGGAGAATTGACAATTGTGGCAATTAATATTGCGGTAAAAGTGTTATTAATTTAATTAAAGTATTGTATTTTCTACGTTAAAATCAAATACTTATAATGCTAAAGTAACTGAGAATAGGTTTATTGAAATAGTTAATCCTTCATTTCAATGTAAAAAATTAGAATATTAACTAGAAATGTCTACGTAACTAGGGTTGCCAGATTTACGAAAGTCAAAAGCGTGACAACCGTGATGACAGAGCATCAGGTTCAAATAACAAGCATTTTTATATAATCAGGGCTTTATTTCTAAAGAAAAAATGTCCTCAGCTTGTATTTTTTGCGAACGAGGGTCTTTTTGCCGATTTTACCTACAAAAAGGTCTTCACCGTATATTTTGCTATAAATCCAGTTTCTACTTTTTATTTACGGCTTTGAATATTAAAAATCATGACATGTGCATAAAAAGAGTGACATTTTTGTCAAAAGCGGGATATTTTCGTACTATGGCATTGAGCGTACAAGCAAGTCAAAAAGCTTGGAAAATATGCCTAAAGCGTGACGACTAACAACCCTATAAGTAACGTGAATAAGTAGTTATTTAATATAAAAACAGCTGTATGCATCACTTCATTCTATATTTACTTAGTTTATAATGTGTATGTAACATAAATTATATTTATAATAATATAATTATAAAATACGTCTTAAAAATAAGGGTATCTATAGATCTCCTTACTTTTTGCTGTTATTATTTTGGGTTTAATATTGTCACTATTTTACTGAGGCTCTTTCCACGGCACAGCGCGTTCGTTAAATGCATTTAAACAAATAAGATTGATGTGGGTCCGAGCTCTAGTGACCGGTTCGAACAGAAAATTTCTTGTTTTTATACCACGTGCATCTGGTAAACACGCATTTAAAAATAATTGTAATTAAAAAATGTAATTGTACCTAATTGTAATTGGAAGAAGTAATTATGAGAAGTAATTGTTTCTGGACAATTTAAATAATATAAGTACTTAAATAGAATTACAAATTACTTGAAAAAAAAGTATTTGTAATTAGTTATTACTCTTAAACTAGAAATTACCCAGCTCTGTGTCCTAGCCTCCCCAGATAAATTTATGTTATGGGGCAACTGGCTGAACAAAATCTAACAATGGCGATCGATGTAATGAAAATATTACTATAAAAACTGAAACCCTTCTTAGTTTATTCACTTTATTATTATGTACATTGTTTATGTCACTAAGGGCCGATTCCACCGTTTTGTTAAACGGAGATTAAAATGACATTGTTAATGTAAAAATGTCATTTTAAACTACGTTTAACACAACGGTGGAATCGATCCTAATTGTAATTATATGGACATTATTTAGACATAATTTTTTTTAAATTAGCTCAAAAAAGAAATAGAAATTACGAAATTCTGTACACAATTCTATTAAAAATTCTAACATCTGATTGACGGACTTTTATTTTCGAACGGTATCCGTCAAGACGGGCCTGTTATGTTTCTGCTATACGTCCGACCAGTCGGACCTCTAGCCACTTCCTACTTTTTATTTATTTTTTGTAATTTGTAAGGTTATGTCACAGGTGTCATAGGTTATGTTTACAAAACTACTAAAATCGAAAATTCTGCAATGTCTTTGATATTCCGAAGGCTGTGTACAAAAAAAAGCATTCAAATACTAGTAAATAACGCCAGCAAGAAATTACTGCATCAAACATCTCAAGCACCAACCGCAATATCTGCTATTTATAATCCTAACCTACAAATTTTAAGGTACAAAAGTAAAGTGGGCAAAAATAAGGCTTCGCAGAAAGTATCAGAGTCTGAAGCTGAAGATGATCAAGATGACGATATTTTTGATGATATAAACAGTAAACATACGAAAACTTTAAATATTCACGTACCTTCCATGAGAGTAGATACATTGCTAAAAGCTGGACTTGGTTTGTCACGAAATAAGATAGAAGTACTCTTTTATGGAAGTAATATTAGAGTGAACGGTGAAAAAATTGTTAAAAAGAGTGTAGGTGTTCAGGAAGGTGATGAAATAGATGTGATAAAAGGTCCCAGTCCTACGAATCCTGATTTTCTAATTGTTGCGAGAGTAGAAATTTTATCTGCCAAAGGAGAAGATGATAGTATTAATGTTAAGATAAGGAGGTGTAAGACACTGACCATTGACAATTATGAAGGCAGGAATAAGTGGTCTCACTCGTCACAATCTGAACAATAATATAGACTTGAAATTTGTACATATTTTAGTCTTAAGCGTTGAATAAATCTTTTTGTTAATACATTTATAAATGATTTTTTCATGGTTCTTTCATCGGTTTTAGACTCAATTTTTTTATATAAACCTACTTAAGTGTAAAGAATATTTTAATATTGAAGTGAAGTTCTTAATTGATACTAGAGATTATCAATTACTTCTTTTAAAGCAGGTGTACGAAAAACAAATTGGAATAAATTCAATATTATTTAGAAAATAAGAGACAAATGTCTGTAGGCATTCAATATTAAATTATTAATGTTGAGAAGGAAAATACTTATCTAAAGCTGATAACCCAGGAAGGTATACTTGAGGCTCCTTTTATACCAATTTGATTACTATATTTATCAAAAGTTAGATTTTATAGTATAGTATTTATTTAAATTAAAATATATGATTTTTAATGTAGGCATGTACGTACAAGATTAAATAAAGCAAAATAGAAATGTTGTAGGTTACCATAAAATGCTGGAAAGCTTGATTTTTGATTGTATTTTTTTGTTTAAGCATTTTTTTATAAATATAAATAAAAGAGGTAGTTTTTGCAGGGGCGGATCAAGCAAAGCCCTAGACACACCACTGATTTTTATATGCGTGTTTTGTACTCTTAGTTTTGTTGATATGTTAGTCCAGGACGGACGAATTGCTCTAGAAATTCAGTTAAAAAATTGTAAATAGCTCGTTAAATAAGAAAGATACAATGTTCATTTCGCTATAAAAAAAATTAAAAATTCATAGTTCTTTTTGATTTTAAGATCGATAAAGCAAGTTTATTTATGTCTTTTTTTTAAAGAGTAGCTTTAAATTTTTTTTCTCTTTAGAATATTGGGCCTTCAAATCTACAGCACTGGCAAACATTTTATAAAGAAAAAAGTTTTTCTGAATGTTAGTTTAACACCCTGTAACTTTGTTGGGAGTCAGTTTTTAATATAGGTAAATATAGCCAAATCCACTTATTTTTTGGTAATCTATCTGAGGATGTATTTATAACATACCTTTTTGAAACATGATTATTTATATAAATTCTTTTTAATTATCTATAATTTGTTTCAGATTAGTGCATTTAAAGGAATTCCTGGAAATGAAGCAATTTGCCAGCTTTGGGAATGTGCCAGTAAAAGTACCAGTGGCGTACTCAGGTGGGGGGGGACAAAAGAGTAATTTCCCCCCCCCCCCCCGCCAGAAAAGCCAGGAAAAATTATGTTTTATTTTGTCATGAAAAATTGAAAAAATTGCCCCCCTAGAAAACCAAGAAAAAATTATGTTTTATCATGAAAAAATACATTAATTTATTAATAATACATAATTAAAGTATTTTTAGTAATTTTAGTAGGTAATATATTGATTTTTGACTTTTTTTTGTTTTTTCAAGTATTATTTGTTTTTGTTACTTTAGAATAATTTATTTTTTTGTTTTGTTTGTGTAGTTTTTAAATTAATAAAAGAAATATGTTTCGGTGAGCTCAGGACCGGAGCGAGCGGAGGGGAGGATTTTTAGAAAAAAAAAGGCGAGTGTTTGCAAGACTTTTGGCAAGAGGGTGACGAAGGCGTGATTTTTTAACGATTTTAATGACTCCTGAGTAAAAATTGGGCGTGACAAACCCAAAATTTTCTGCTTTCGGCGGTAAGCCTCCGGCGGCACCTGCGCGGGGTCTGTACTTGACCTTTACCAATCGAAAAAGAAGAACCAAAAATCGTTATGGGTGTTTTTTTGGGGCGCTGAATTCAAATATGGCTTCGGCAAACACTGCCCGGATACCTGGTGCGCCCAAACCTGGACGTGGTCGTCCTCCCCGAGAATATCTCCGACAACAACTCGAAAATCATTGTAGGTGCGTTTTTTGGGTGCTTAATCCAAATTTCACGTCGAAAACGACCCCTCAAACATCTAGTGCACCGGAATCTGGCTTTTAACGTCGTCTTCGAGGGTTTCCTCACATAATCGAAGAAGACGAACCCAAAAACGTTATGGGGTTTTTTTAGGGCGCTGAATCCAAATTTCACGTCGAAAACACCTGGTGCACCGAAAACTCGGGCTGGACGTCGTCTCCGAGGGTTTTCCAGACACGTCTCATCATTTCACACATTCATTGATGTGTAACTCTCGCCTGAAGCCCTCGAAAAAGTTGATCCAGTCCTGTAAAATTCCTGAATAAAGCTAGGAGAATTACGAGAATAATCTGCGGCTAGATCTTTGAACTTTGCCGAGCGGCCTTTCATTTTTCTCCCAACGCTCGAAACGCTTTTTCCTAAAGTCCAGGCCCCGCCCATCAACGTGTAGAACGAGCAGGTGGCGGCAGTAGAAAACCGTTATCGAAATACATTAACGGAGTAGGGTGCTAAATTGGGCGAAGTTCCTCATAAGTTGGATAATTAACTTCAAATTTATAACTTCGGATGGTTGCAGAATTAATACCTAAAAGAGGTTTGTTCCAACAACAATTTTGAGACCATATATAAACCAGTCCACAACTTATTGTCGACGACTGATAGTCGACGACCTGTCGAGGATTGGGACGCGATTCGAAACTTGGATGTGTTGGAACACATTTTTGTGTTGTCAAACACACTCTGTTAATAACGTAAAGTAAAACCAAATTTAACAAATGTAAAATTTTGAATTTGGGAAGTAAAAAAATTATAAAACTCATGAAAAGATTTATAAATTTTGATTATTCGATTTTTAGAGTTGGTGGTGGTTTATTTACGAGCTCACTTTCGTTTTGCGCATATCTTGACAATTCGTTCATATTCACACCCAGGAACTAATTTGACAGTACAGAAACTGCGCAGAATCCCGACAGTATGGAAACTGATTTGCTATTGTGTTAGAACAAACCTAAGATCAGGTTTGGTTGACATTCATGGGAATGACATCGATGTCAAGATAAAGGTTCTGGTGCACCAGGTGTTAGGAGGGTCGTTTTCGACGTGAAATGAAATTCGGATTCAGTGCTCCATAACGATTTTGGGTTTGTCTTCTTCTATTGTGTGAGGAAACCCCTCGGATACGACGTTCAGGCTCAGGATTCGCTGCACTAGGTGTTCGGGGACCGTTTTTGACGTGAAATTTGGACTAAGCTCCCCAAAAAACGCCCCTACAAAGATTTTCGGGTTGTTTATGGCGATCTTGTCAGGAAAATTTTCGGGGATGACGGTCACGTGCAGGTTCGGATACACCAGGTGTCCGGAAGATGTTCGACGATACTACACATTTGAATTCAGCGACCCAAAAAACCCCCGGGCGCCGAGTTTCTCTCCTTCCCCGCGTGAATTTTGGGAGAGTCCCACGGAGGTGACGTTCAGGGCCAGGTTTCGGTGCACCAGGTTTTGAGGGGGTCGTTTTCGATGGGAAATTAGGATTCAGTGTCCCAAAAAAAAACCCATTACGATTTTCGGTTCATCTTTTTCGATTGTGTGAGGAAAACCCACGGAGATGAGGTCCGCGTCCAGGTGCGGTTCACCAGGTGTTCAGGGGATCGTTTTCGACGTGAAATTTGGATTTAGCGCCTACAAAAACGCCCCTACAATAATTTTCAAGTCTTAGTCTAAAAAATTCCGAACTTCATTGCATCGACTATAATTAATCTTAATGATCAGATTGTAATAATTATAAATGTTTCTTCATTTGAAGCCCTTAAAAAAACTCTTTGTTTCAGATAAGTGTATTTAAAATTAGCGATTTGCTTTTATATTTTATGAAATAATGTTTAAAAATTAATTATTTGTTTGTATAAGAAACAATGTTTGAGTTTTGTATATTTTAAATAAACATGTATATTTATAAATGTCTTTCTTTAGTCTAATAACATTTTAGAAAAAAAGCTAGAATAAATTTCTGAAATATTACTACATACTTTGTATTTCTAAAAGATTTCAAATATTTATTTCAGAAATATTACTGTGAAATATTATATTTAGGGGACATTTTTACGTTTCAGGCACATTTCAGAAATGTAATATTAATACAACATTAATTACAAATGTTTTTGAAATATTTCCGAAATGTGTTTGTGCTGTATGGGATATTGTTAAATTAATTATTTTATTTGCAAATCTTAGTGGTAAATGCGTGCATTTTTTTGAATGCCTCCTAAAATAATTACGACGCTACTGACAGTTCGGCAATTTTCGGAAAATTAGTCGCTTAAAATTGTTCGCTAAGTTCACACCTATATCTTGCTTTTTTATTTTTTAATTTCTTGAATATAATACTCATTTTTATTTTTTTTTAAATTAAGCTGTATTCGAAAAACTCATTCAAAGTTCGCGTATAAATTTAAAAAAAAACTCTTGAATGAGGTATCTGGGAAGGCTTAAAATTTGGAACAGTGAAACTATTTAATAATAAATTATAAACGAATTGATATACCTACAAAAAAATGATTGTGTACTGCACTGACTACCAATATAGGAACGATCACAGGGGACAATAAATAAACAGATTTAGGAAGAGATTTGTTTAGTATAATAATAAATAATAGATGACGCCCTGTAAAAAGTATACAACTCCGCCATTTTCTATCCATTAAATTTCAATATTAGATTTGAATCTTTATATTTTTTGAGTTGTCGCTATTAATTTTTTATTCTCTTTTTAAATGTACTATCTTTTTTATTTAACTAAAGCCACTGTCTAAAACTATCTCGCAATCCACACAATTATTAAAATCATGCTAGTTACACGTTTTTGCCGACAGATGGGAGCAGTGACTTCCAGTGCAGTAATATTTCATTTTTCAACTCGGCTTACTTGACTAACCGGTAGTTGTCGCTGGTTGCTTAAAACTGGATTAACGACCTTTTGGGTGGTCGAAAGCGCATGCCGATTTTCTCTCTTTCTCTAACTCACGTTTACCCGGCATTTCATTTTCCGTGTTTCGTTCAACTTGAACTAGCATTTGTTTTTGTCTGACAGTCTTCGGATACAATCTTGGTTATATGTGTGTCTTTTGTGTCTTCCAGTGCCGGAATTTGACAGAAAACAAGTGAATATCACACTTTTTTTGACTGAAAAACTGTT